CGCGCGTACCGCGCACTGCGCCTGCGCCCTCGGCTCCTCGCCTCCCGGCTTCTCCAAGCCCCGACGCTCCGCTTCTCCGTGGGGAAAGGTCTAACAAGGTTTCACGCAGTCTAGAGTGTGCTGAGGGATCAGAAGAGAGATAATATAGGGGGAAAGCCATGGGCCTGATGAACCCCTCCGAACAGAGAAGAAAGGAGCAGTCTCTCTCGCCAGAGATATCTCTGCACCCTTTTCTTGGAAGCAGAGAACCTTTTCTTAGTTGCAGTGTTACCAGACTTTAGTGTTTATACCCTGACTATAATGTCTTTGAGATTCAGCCCGTGTCTCTTCATTTTTGTGGCTTTGCATCTACAACTACCTTGCCTGCAGTAGGTATGTTAAAAAGGAATCCTAAAGGTATCCACTACAACGCCCTGCCCCATCCCGTGCTGGAATCCTCTAGCACCCTGACAAGGAATTGGCTGGCCCTTGACCTTCATGCCTCCTGTAGTGGGAATCTAAACCCTGTACTGGGAAAGTTGTTGAATGGATTCCTATATCATCTGTTGATGAATAGCTCAGCTTTTTAAAGGGCGATGGATTGGAGAGCATCTTTTCCAAAGTGCGTTTTGGTCATCTCCAAGCCCTAGAGATGATGGAGTCAGGGGTGGGGGGGTGGGGGAGGGGGTTTAGATCCCAAGATCAAATTAATCTGGGGAAAGAAACACAGTATAGCTGCTCTCTTTGCGGTTGAGGACGTACTTACAGGCCTAAGAATTGTATTTTACTTTCGTCATCCTGCATTTCCAAATTTATTTGACCTGAAGGGTGGCAGAATATGCCACCCCCAAACATCCTACTTTAGCATAAGATTTAATTTGAGTTAAAGGTACTTGAAAAATAGCAGATACGAGAAGGGCACTCCGACCTTTTTTTTTTCCCTTCCTGAAATCAGATGAAAACCTAGCGTGAAACATCCTCTGTCATCCATATACCAGGAAGAAAAAAACATTGTCACCAGAGATGAGAGTTAAGGATTTCCCTCATCCATACAAACAAACCTTGTTGAACTGACCCTTGTCTTTCTAGTCACTTCATGATTAACTGCCCTAGCTTAAGCCCCATTTGTCTACTCATTTTCACTTTTTAGTACTCTTGGTCCAACTTAGTGTGTGTGTCCACCTCTGCTTCTTTGGGTCATTTTCCTATGCGTGTTCCCATGTACATGAAAAAATCTGTATGCTTTGCTCCTGTTAATAATGTCTGTGTCAGTTTAATTCAGTTCCAGCCAGAAACTCTAAGAGGGTAAGGTGCCTCCCTTACAGCCCACAGAGAAAGGCCTCTTATCATCCTGGGGCATTAGGGTTTCAATCAAAAACTTTGATAAGCACTGCTCTAAAGTCCTAGTACGTTCACCCTTAGTAATTTTGCACTGTATTACAAATGTTTGCAAAGTTCTCTACTGTTTACCCAAAGCTTTCACATGAGTCATCTTATTTAATCCTTACAATTATGATGTAACTATAATTATCCTCATTTTACAGCTGGAAATATTGAGGGTCAAACAAACAGTGGCTGCCCAAGTATAGAGTCAAGATTGACTCTGGACTTCAGACTTCAAGGCCTTTAAAATATATATATAAAGGTTTGACCTACATATATAAAGGTTTCTAATCAAAGATGTGCCTTACATATATATATGTGTATATATATGTAATATATATATCTTATGTAATATATATATTTTATATAATATATATGTTATATATATATATATTTTCTCTCTCTCTTTCTCTCTCTCTCTCTCTCTTTCCTATTTGACCCTTAACCATCTTTGGTTAGAAATATCAAGATTCATGTGTTAGTTTTCAAGGGACTTTTACCTATCTTTTACTACCTGACATCATGGTGCAGGGCACAAAAGTGTCACTCAGGTGTGCTGAATGAAGAATGAATGAATGTGTGAATGCTCTATAATGCCTATTGAACTGGACCGAGCCCTTAGCTCCCTAACTGAACAACCTCGATGCAGAAATCCCAAGAGCTCCCTGGATTATTCTTAATTTTCTTTCGTATTCCATCTAAAAAGTCTTCCTTAGAACAATCCACTCGGTTAACAGAGATTGTTCTTTGAATACAATGAAACCACTTCCTTTGTTTTCCTTGAAATGGGCCTTCTTCCTGTTCCACTTTCAGAGGCTCGGCTTCCTGGGCATGCATGGTTGTTGTTGTAAGCCTTTCACTGTTCCCTGGTGTTTCACCTCTTCCCAGAAAATAGTGGTTATTGCGACATTCTGAATGGGTTTTTGTTGTTTGTTTTCTTTTTAATGTTAAACACTATTTTTTAAATATTAATGTCTTATATTATTTGAGGCAAAAAAATAGGTTTGGGTTCATGTGGATAACAGTGCTGCTTAGATTTTGCTGTGCATATTAATTCTTTCATTTGCTAGAGACAAATCACTTAATCTCTGTCCTAATCTCTTTTCATTCTTCCTTCATTCAGTGCGGTTTATAAGTGATTTGTGACTCCGTCCAGCTCTACCTCTCCAGCCTCACCTCCCATTACCCCACCATACATTTCGACCTTCTAAATCAATTGCAGTTCCCCAAATTACCAAACTGGCACTACTGTTCTCCTTGCCTCTATTTTATGGGTACCAACTGGCTAATTCATGTTCATCCATCTAAAGTATTACATCTTCTGGAAAAAGAAACTCAACAACACCCACCCCAGAGTGAATTAGGTGCCCTTCCTCAGCGTTTCCGTCACAATCCGTCCATAATTCTATCGTGGCACCTATACAATCATTGTGATTATTGGCTTCTTTTCCCTCTTCCCCCTAAACTCATTTCATGTGAGTCACCTTCACCTGTTTCCTGAGCACCTGACACATATAATGCATTTAAATATATGTTGAATGAAGGAAAAACGAGTCTTTAAAAAAATGTGAATTTCTTGTGAAATAATTTCATAAATATAAATGGTCATATGAATACAATGCAGGGTGGTAGAACAGATTTCTGCTTTCCCTAAAATTATTCCCTTCCCATTTTCTGCCATAGGAAAACATAACAGTAGAATCTTATAAATGGATATTGATTGATTGATTGATTGATTGATTCATCCATTCATTCATTCATTCACTTATTCAACAAATATTTTTGAGTATCTGTAGTATACTAGATACTGTCCTAAGCACTTGCTTCAGAGAGAAAGTGACATTTCAGCAGAATAGTGAATGCTCACCAAACCTCGATTCTTCTTTCTGGGCACAAAACTAAATTACTTCGTCCATTCCACTTACATCTAGGTAAAGCCACGCGACCAGATCTCACCAATGGAGTTTGAGCAGAAGTAGAGTTTCGCTTCTGGATCTAGGCAATTAAGAACTGGTGAGCCTTCTCCCCGCTCATTCCCTCTTCCCATTCCTTCACCACCTTGGACCATTCCTAACTATTGCTAAAGCGGATGGTGAGATCTGATGGAAGAAGTTCTGGTCCCTGGTTGACTTCATGGAACAAAGGTCCCCCCACCATTCACTAATCTTAATTGGCTTGTGATGTGAATGAAAAATGAACTTTATTGTGTAAACTACTAATATTTGGGGAATTTTTTCCCCAGCAGCTAGTTACCTTTATTTACCCTGATTAACACTGTCATGAAGTATGACATGTAGATTACATAAGATACTAGAAAATATTGTCTCCTGCTCTAGGCATTCCATGGGCAACACGGAACATGAAAATGTATCGAAGAAGGTATTAAGGTCATAAAGAATTTAAGTTTGTCCCAAGTGGATAAAGAAAAATCATTATGGATACTCAGCTCTTTGTTCTCTTTCTCAGATGACCACCTGATCAGAATGCTCACATCTTGATCTGAAAACAAGCACAGAGTCACCATCACATCATCTTCATCGTCTTTATCAGTTACCGTTGGTCTCTTTCCTGCATTTTGAGGAATTTTTCTGAGTGGACTTCAAGAGGTCCAGTGTCACTCAAAATAGAATATATATTAAGGAATGATAGAAGATAAGAGTGAGAAAAGATGTTTTGTAGGCTCTTGAATATCATACTAAGGAGTTCGTATCTTCATCTACAGGACACATATTTGAATAAACTAGGGACTATTTGTGGTAGAATGAATTTTTTCTTTTTTCCCCCTCCCATTGTCTTCTTTCCCGCTTAGCTGGTACCCACTAAAGCTAAAGTAACAATGGGAAAATGGCTGTTCATAGATGCTCTACCAAGAGACCTAATTATAATGAGAGCCTCTCTTCTCAATGCCCTCACCTCACAGCCCTCCCCTCCTCCAAACCTCATTAATCAATGAATCTTCATAGCACCAAAAGGCTAATAGTGGAGTCCTGAATGAAAAATATTCAGCCATTGGGGCAGGAGGCAATAGCACCAGTTGGATCAAAGGAAAGTTATAAAGGGGAGGGGGGAGAGAAAGAATTTAGGGGGAAAAAAAATAGAGGGTTTTCTACCAACTACAAGAGCAACTCATCCAGTCTGGGAAGCTGATCCAAAAAGAATGAAATACATGAAGCACGTGGTATAAAACTGCCCAGGATTCCAGAACGAAAGCCCCCAGACTCATTGAATAAAGCAGAGAAACATCTAAATCCCTGGACTGGAAGAAATGATTCAAATATGAAGTAAATGACTTTATTTTTCTGGACTCTATATACAATAGTTTAAGCTGGAACAACACTTCTTTTCTTATATGATTCTATGTTGGATT